CGGCTGCAAGCGGGTGTCTGCTTGGGGCAAGCGGCTCGCTATATAAACGTGTATTTGGTTGCGAAACCACCCCCGTCCCAGCAATGGGTTGTGCGCTGGGTTTAGGACCCGCAACGTAAAAACCACTTCCAGTGAAGAAGCAAGGCAAAGCCTCGGATGAGACCCGCCCTTATGATGACGACCAAGGCAACGTTTCAAGGACTACGATTTGAGGGCATGCCCCTGGAATGTCCGGACCCTTAATGGGGAAGGTGCCTCTGCCCTGCTGGTTGATGTCCTCGTAAGGACAGAAGCTGACATCACCGCCATCCAAGAAAAGCGTTGCACGGGGCAAGGCAAGCAATGTCTGGGGCCTTGCGACGTCTACTACAGCTGCCATGTAAAGGAGCGCAAATTCGGAGTTGGATTTGTGGTGGGAGAGAGATTCCGTCGCCGAGTACTGTCGTTCACCCCGGTGGACGAGCGTCTAGCCACAATCCACATCAAAGCGAGATTCTTCAACATCTCGCTCATCTGCGCCCATTCCCCGACGGAAGAGAAGGATGAGGCATCCAAGGATCTCTTCTATGAGCGCTTGGAGCGCACGTACGAGCGCTGCCCCCCCTCATGATATCAAAATCGTGCTTGGCGACTTCAATGCCTGGGTGGGCAAGGAAGGGATCTTTGGAACCACCGTCGGAAAATTCAGCCTCCACGATGAAACGTCCGACAACGGATTGAGGCTGATCGACTTCGCCGGGGCCCGAAACATGGTAGTATACAGTACTAGGTTCAAGCATAAAAAGATCCATCAAGCTACGTGGCTGTCTCCGGATCGAAAAACGAGAAACCAAATCGATCATGATGTGATAGACTGAAGGCACGCTTCCAGTGTCTTAGACGTACGCACACTCCGAGGCCCAAACATCGACTCGGACCACTATCTTGTTGAAGATACGCACCCGCCTATGTGCAGCAAAAAATGTGCAAGGAAAGCTTAACGTCGAAAAGCTGCAATCACAACAACCAGCCAGCGCTCTCGCTACTCGACCCTCCCACCTGCTCTCAGAGATCACTCTTAAACAAACCGAACGCTATAGGGATCTGAAGAGGGAAGCGAGGCGTATTTGCCGCAATAAGAAGAGAGAGGCCGAAATACGTGAGTGCAAAGAGCTCGAAATGCTGCCCGACAGGAAGAATGCCCGAAAATTTTACCAGAGAGTTAGGCGACTTACGGAAGGTTTCAAGACCAGGGCGTACTCCTATAAGAACAGCAATGGAGACCTAGTAACCGATGTCTAGAGCGTACTTAAGATATGGAGGGAACACTTTTCCGCCGCACGGAATGTTGTGGAGAAGAAGAACCCGAGCCCGCAGTCGATGATGACGGAGTCGACGTTCCAACACCTGACTATGACGAGGTACGTATAAATAACGCAGCTGAAAAACAACAAATCTGCTGGAGCTGACAGCCTGCCAGCTGAGCTATTCAAGTACGGCGGCGAGGAGTTGATAAGGTGCATGCATCAACTCTTGTGCAGAATATGGTCAGATGAACGCATGCCCGATGACTGGAATTTAAGTCTGCTCTGCCCAATCCACAAGAAAGGTGACCCCGCCATTCGCGCCAACTACCACGGGATCAGCCTTCTAATCAAGGTCTTATCGAGCGTATTGTGTGAAAGACTGAAGCCCACCGTCAATGAACTGATTGGGCTTTATCAGTGTGGCGTTAGATCTGGCAAATCCACCACAGACCAGGTATTCACAATACACCAATTCTTGGAAAATACCCGTGAGAAAAGGATCGACACTCACCACCTATTTGTCGACTTTAAAGCAAGGAATGAAACCGATTCAAAATAACGTTCCGGTTTGGGTTTCGGTTTTGCCAAGTGTTTCGGTTTCGGTTTTGGTTTCGTTCCTCAAAATTTATTTCGGTTTTGGTTTCGGTTTCGTTCCGGTTTCGGTTTTTCACAGAAATTTTGTTGATATTATTTAAATCCCAACGTCTTAAAGGTTAAGGAAAGAAAATTGAAAATTACAGTTCACTGATAATATCAACACTAGGTTCTTTCCCTAACAATCCGGACCGGATTTGGTAATTAGAGAATAAGAGAAACATTTTCTTTCAAAAATGGAACAAAGTCCAGAAGTACGGGAACGCAAAAACCACATTTCGTGCCCACAAGTCGAGAAACAGCTGATTCACGTTTTTTCTTGTTTTTGTCACTTATACCATGTTCTGACCGACATCAGAAACATGTTTTCGTTGCTAAAACTGGTTTTCGACCTAAAACTTGTGTTTTCGTTCATGTAAAATCTGTCAAACGAAAACCAGTTTTCGCTGAAAACTACACAGATACACAGCAACCACGTCATCACCAGATTCACTTAAATGTTTCCTTTTAGCTGTAAAACTAAAGGTGTATGAAAACTAAAATATAATTGTTATTTTCGTCATATATTTACTACATAATTATGAAACCCCTTCATTTCTGTGTCCTTTACAACTATACACGTGAAAATGAAAATCAAAATGACTTCTTCCAAATAACCGATGCCAGATCCGAGATTTAATTTATTAGGCACCATTTTAGTGGCCTTTTTGCGAAAAGTTACCTTGACATACTTATTTACTAAATAAAACAAAATTTGGTTAAATAAATCATTTATTTTAAAGAAATTTTGATTTACTATTTTTGTAAATTTCTGGAAACCGATTGAAACCTGTGATTGAAATGGTTTCGGTATCGTTCCTTTTCAGGTTAAGATAACGGTTACGGTTTCGGTTTCGGTTTTGAAAAACGAAACGGTTTTAAACGGTTACGGTTTCGGTTTGGGTTTCGGTTTCATTCCTTGCTTTAAAGCCGCTTTTGATTGCACTAAAAGGAGTTGCCCATACGCCGTTATGTCTGAATTTGGCATCCCCTCAAAACTCATACGGCTGCGTAAAATTACGTTGAGCAATACCACCAGCTCCGTCAGAATTGGGAAAGACCTCCCCGAGCCGTTCGCCATAAAACGGGGTTTCAGACAGGGCGACTCCCTTTCATGTGACTTCTCTAATCTGATGTTGGAGAATATAATAAGAGCTGCAGAACTGAACCGCTCAGGAACAATTTACTACAAGAGCGTGCAATTGCTGGCTTATGCCGATGACATCGACATCATCGGTAACAAAAACCGCGAAGCCTGTTCTGCCTTTTCCAAGTTGGATAGGGAAGCAAAGCGAATGGGTCTGGTGGTAAACGAGGACAAGACGAAGTATCTCCTGTCATCAAACAAACAGTCAGCACATTCGCGCCTTGGCACCCACGTCACTGTTGACAGTTACAATTTCGAGAAAGTAGAGAATTTCGTTTACTTGGGAACCAGCATTAACACCGATAATAATTCCAGCATTGAAATGCAACGCAGAACCACTATTTATAAAAATCGTATTTATGAACCGATTTCTTTTAAATACAAAATGTAAGCTATCAGCATGATGGCAAACACATTTACCAAAAATAGACCTGCTAGGTGGCGCGGGAGTCGTGTTATTTATAAAAGCCGTATTTATGAACCGATATCTTTAAAATTCAGAAGGTATAGTTTCAGCATAATGGAAAATAAGTTTACTTAAAACGGAGCCGCTAGGTGGCGCGGGAGGCGAGTTATTTATAAAAGTTGTATTTATGAACCGATTTCGTTCGTAAGCATGATGTAAAAAGCACTTGCGAAAAATGGACCCGCTAGGTGGTGCTGGAGTCGAGTTATTTATAAAAGCCGTATTTATGAACCTATTTTGTTAATACACATACGAAACGTTTATAACTTTCATGATGATTTTTTTTCATTCGAAACATATTCAGCCTTATCATGAGTTTCATCTTCCCTGAACCGGTTCACTTTTCGCTTTTGGTTTCCATGTACTTACTATGGGGGGATTCAATATTTTCGCGTGTTTTTTCGGGCGGAACTCAGGATAAGGAAGATCACATACATAAAATGATAGCCATTTCCGTTTTTCCGACTAAACTCAAGCACTCAATAGAGCCCTGTCAAATTGTCGGAGGTCCTGTTATAGGCTACCAGAAAATACACTGGTGGCGCTGGAGTAGAGTTATTTATAAAAGTCGTATTTATTAACAGATTTCGTTCACATTCGCAGCGTGACTACCTGTATGGTGAAAAATTCCTTTGCTAAAAATGGACCCGCTGGAGTTTAGGTATTTAGAAAATCCGTATTTTTTATAAAATCTGATTGCAATTCATAATTCGTATTCATTTCATGACAAGCAAAGGTTTTGCAGAAAAGGGACCCAATGGATGACGCTGCACCCGAAATATATAGAAACCGCCAAGGAGTTTTTTTTATCTTAGACGAATTTACTTTTCAGATGGCTAAATCAAGGATGCGAATAAGTATATAAAGACCGTAACACTGTGTAAGCGTGATCTTGCATCTACCTCCGATTGACGAAGTTGTTCGAGGCGGCCGTTATTACAGCAATAAGATTCAAAGAAACCAATTCATAAATGTTAAGATGAATTGTAAAAGTGGCAAATTGACAACGAAAGATTCAACCACATCTGTCCAAGAAGGAACACGGTTGGTATATCAATGGCTTCATTTAAACGATATTCATGAGATCACACGACTCATTTAGCTAATTTACGCGACAACTTTTCATCCTGTGGGGCAGCGAGGACTCTTGGCCTTCCTATAATTGAAAACGCTCATCTGTGCTCTCGAGTTTCCGTATAAGAACTTTTATTGGCTTACATGGTACACCGGACCAATGCTGAAGTTGCAGGATGGTCGAAGAATATTACGAACGCTTGGCAGAGATCTCACAGGTGGAAATAAGACCATAGGTAAAACGCATTACATCGAAAGGAATTAGTATTCCATATGGAATCACAGCGCTACTATTCTTGGCATATGTGTGAGGAGGATTCCGTTTTTTAGTCGTTTCAATTTAACCTAAAAATGTTTATGATGTATCGTGGAACGATTTTCCGTCATCCCTTGTCAAATTTGGTTTGGAGACAAAGCGGTTTCGAATGTGCCATCTTCAGTGTTATTTTTCGTTCTGAATAGTTCGTGATTCCTTCCGCTTTTATGTATTCGTGCTACTATCTGTTTTAACTGTCATTAGGTCATGCATACCCATCTAAGTGCGACCGCTTTTGTTTCATTATCTCGCAGGTAGGTGCTTTTTTGGTTGCTTGTATTCGCCGGCAGGTAGAAATCCGTTATTTTTATTTTCTTCGTTTTCGTGATTGCGTCGGTTTATGTTTCGTTATTTAGCAGGTATTAGGTTGCTTGCTTGTGCCGGCAGATAGAAATCCGTTATTTTCATTTTCTGGGTTTCTGCGGCGTGGTTATGTGTCTTCGCGTTGACGTTTTTTTCCAGGGGTCTTCTCATATTTTTCGTACAGCATCTTGAGTGGTTCGAATATTACATCGGATACGGTGTTTGTTTGTTCGTTTATAATACTCCCTTGAAATGCTTTCTGCTTGTATATCTCTATGTTTTCCAATATGTTCAAACGCCGTCCTTTATGCTGTACGTGGAGGAGTTTGGCTGCCTTATTAATTTTCATTGGTGTATATTTATTTTCGAACTTATGATTTGCGAAGTTTGATTCTGGGGTGACGCTCGGCTTTTGTATCCTCTTATGGTAGTCTCTTATATGTTCGCGGAATCTTGTTTTAATCTTACGGCCAGTTTGCCGTATGTAGCTACACTTGCATTCACGCGTTAATTTGTATACACCCTGCTTATCTAGAGTGTCCTCTTCGTTTGTGCTGTTGTTCAGCATCCTTCCGACGTTGTTCCTGGTTCTGAACGATGTGCGAATGTTGAATTTTTGGAAAACCTTGGCCAGTTTGTATGTCATTTTACCCGTGTAAGTTAACACTGCCCAAGCTGTATCGTTGTTTTCTTTCTTGTCCCTACTTTTTCGTTTCGAGTCCTTTCTAATTTTGTCCACCAGATCTTTTTTGTATTCATTGTTTTTGGCAATAGCATATATTGTGTCTAGCTCTCTCCTGTGTGCTTCCTTAGTTAATGGGGTTCACTCAAGTCTAGTTAATGATTGTCTAAATGCAGCGTTTTTGTGTTGTTGTGGGTGGTTAGAGGTTTCATGTATTACTGTGTCGGTCGCTGGGAGCTTTCTCGTATTCCAGTCTGTTGATGGTCCTGTTTATTTTAATCGTTAGATCCAAATAGTTGAGTTTTCCTTTCTCTTCCTTATCCATCGTGAATGCTATATTTTTGTGTTGTTCATTAAGTTAGTCTAATATCTGTAATAAGTGTCCAACTTATTATTAAAACAAGTTATGGTGAAGTTGTAATTCGCACAGTGCTTAACAATTTATTAAATTAATCGTACGCACGTGGATATATACTTGCGCTTTTACATTGATTAGTCGACCGGAAGTCTGTATATCGATCGATAGTATCTAAAGCTAACTGTGTTCATAAATGAATGTTATTATAATACCAATATGTGTTTATAAATACAAGTAAGGCTATCTGCACACTTGTCGTCCAATCATAGTTGCGTTATCGTCTCGCCCTGAAATTTTGGGCTTAGCACATGCATTTCAAAGGAGATCTGCACACTTGTCGTTATCGGCTAGTTATCGGCAAATAGTAGAAGATGTAGAAACGGATAATCAGAATCTTTAGAAAAAATTCTGGTATGCAGTTTTGTAGCACATTCAATTCTAATCTGAAGAAGTGCAAGTTTCAAGCGGCTAAAAAATTCCGTTGATTTTTTAGAATTTTTTTTGGTTAAAGGTGTTTCACGTTTTTTCCATACAAAGTATGTCGACAATTTTCTTTTATATGGAGGACACTGCCAGCAAAAAAATTGCCAAAAATCAACGGAATTTTTTAGCCGCTTGAAACTTGCACTTCTTCAGACTAGAATTGAATGTGCTACAAAACTGCATACCAGAATTTTTTCTAAGGATTCTGATTAAAAAGTTTGAAATTTGGGTGAAAAATTGCAAAATTTTTATAATTTTTATACAAAGTTTAAAATCTGAATTTATATGGTGTTTGTTGTATAGCCAGCTAGGCTTTTATAAAAAAATAATAAACATTAAATAAACAAAAGGCAAATAGCCAAAACTGGTCAAAATATCGCACTCCTGTTATTTTGTGGACAACTGTACATTTCCATTCTTATTTGACGTTAGCTTTGTTGTTGCCATTCTTTGGACTAAAAATTTGGTTTTTTGCGTTCCTTTACTTTTCCAGTTATTCTCTTTTAGTGAGCGCATTTTGCTTACGCTCTGGCATCTTGACACTTTTCAGATTTTAGTCCAAAAAGATAAGCAATGAACCTATTGTTTGTTTACATTTCATGGGGAAAAATTTGCGAAAGAGTTAATATTTGCATTAAAATTGCATAAAAATTAGTGTCTTTGTCATAAAATCTGTCGAAATTATTAAAAACTGGATAATTGCAATAAAATTCAATAAATCTGAGCGTTTTAACTATAAAACATGACGAAATGGTAAAAAGTCTCTGAATGCATAAAATACATTTCAGGAAAAATAGAAGAGATATTAATAATAGATATTTTAAAAATTGCAGGTTTTTGTAAACATTTCGCGAAAATATCAACCAGAAAAACAGAAAATACCTGCTTCAAGTCAATTTTTAGACGCCAAATGAATTGATATAACACGACCGAGTATGCGAAAAGGTAGTCGTCATGTAATCGTTGCATCATGATTGATGACGATGAAGTAACTATGATTGGACGACCAATGTGCAGAAAGCCTAACATTGTACTAGGTTAATACTGCTTAAGCTTGACTTTATGACATACTTATTACATGCAATTTTTTTTTATATACATCAGTGTAATGATTTAATAATATATTAATTGTCGTCCTCGTCAAAACCATACAACTTGGGGGGAACCACTGCATGACCACTTCGCGTACAATAATATCAGACTCAGTTACATCGACAGTGTTATTGTTGCTGTTTGCAGCATTGCTTGACTCAATGAAAGATTGATTTAACACCGGCGATACAGCGTCATTTGAGGCCTTTGGGTTATTTCCCCCAAGCTGGGTTTGTGAGGGTAACATGCAGTTATTCTCTTTTCTTCTCTCAATTCTTTCTTCCAGAACAGCTTCCTTATTATCTAATATATTGTTAGCGCTTTGAGCTATATATCTTCGGTTGCGTCTACAAGAATGATTGTTATTATCTTTAACTACATATGATCTACCATTCACATTTCCAGTAATGACACCATAATGCCACTCTTTGCCTTCTTTCTTAAATATTACCCTATCCCCTAACTTTAGCTCCGGTAAAGGTTTTGCAATCCGATCAAAGTTGTGTTTTTGTCTTAATCTTTTATCTGCGATTGTTTCTTGTACTTTTAATTCGTCAGGCGCATTCCTGAACAAAAGGTCTTCCGTTGTTGGGAGCTTGGTTTTTAATAATCTTCCAAAAAACAACTGCGCGGGGCATAATCGCATGCTATCTACTGGAATGTTGTTATATTCAAGTAAATGGAAATAAAATTGTCCCGCTCGTTCACTTCGTAGCACCGTTATAGTAAATTTTTTGCAATAGCTACTCCTTTTTCAGCCAACCAATTGCTCTGTGGATATCTAGGAGTTGAAAACTAAAGCACTATGTTTGCTTAATTTGAGAAGTGTTCCATTTCTGATGAATTAAATGGATTATTGTCACAGCGTATTGTCGCAGGATAGCCAATTGTATTGCTGTATAGCTGCTTCAATACATTAACAACTGACCCAATGGTTTTGTTTTTTAAGCTGTTCTGCGAACACCAAGTTCGAATATGAATCAATAAAAGAGATGTAGTTTTGCCCCCTAATTCAAAAATATCCATTCCTACTGTTTGAAACGGGTACGAGGGTACTCATCCTGTTTCAGTGGTTCTTTTGTCTGATTACGCCTAAATGCTTCACACACCACACACCCAGCAATTAATTCTTTTAATTACTGATTCATGTTGGCCAAAAGTAAAGAGTTCTAGCTCTTTGGAGGGTTTTTTCGATGCCTAAATGTGGTCCATGCAGCCATTTACTTACAATTGGTTGTAAGCCTGTGGGAATTATCAAGCGATGACTCTTTAGCAGCATACCATTTTCAAAGTGGATGACTGATTTATACTTATGAAACCGTTTACCAAGCTCATCCAAACTATTATAATTTGGCCACCCATATTGTGCATAGTCACAAACTTTCTGATAACTTTTGTCTTCTTCCAAGCATTTGCAATAGGCTATGTAATTGTCTTTTGACATGCAAACTCGTTTTCTAATCGAGTGAATTACTTCACTAAGTTCCTGAATTTCTACGCTTTCCGCTAAAGGAGCTCGTGAGAGGCAATCTGCAACTAGCGTTCGCTTACCTGGGGTGTAAACAATTTCCATTTTAGGGTATTGAAGCAAGAACATAAACATTGCCTGCAGCCTTGTAGTCACTTCATCGATCTGCTTCTTCACCAGTGACTCCAGGGGCTTATGTTCGCTTTGCACTACAAAGTCACGACCATAAAGATAATAGTGAAACCTTATATACGAAAATACTATGGCCAATAGTTCTTTTTCAATTTGGGCCCATTTTTGCTCTGATTTACTTAACGTTCTGGACGCAAACGCCACCGGTTGACCCTCTTGCAACAAAACACATCCTAACCCATCTTTGAAAGCACCAGTCTGCAGCACAATGGGCTTTCCTTTATCATAAAGGGCTAACACTGGCTCAGATGTAATCATGTTAATAAGCTTCTGTAACTCATGCTCATGCGCATCTGACCACTGGAACGAAACATTATTATACGTTAACTTACGCAAGTTTGCTGTATTTTGTGATAAATTTGGAATGTACACAGCCAGAAACTTAAGCAAGCCCAAAAATCGCATTACATCTCCTTTATTTTCCTAACTTTCTAATCGCTTCACAATATTTGCTACGTGGCTTAATTTTGCCCTCTGATACTACACGACTCATGAATTTCATTTCTGTAACCCTCTATTGAATTTTATCGGGATTGAATTTTATGCCCCTTTCCATAGCTCGTTTCATAACTTTACAGAGAATTTCATCGTGCGTCTTAAGATTTTCTGATACAATTGCGATGTCATCGAAATAGATTATAACACCGGGTGTATCTTCAAACTGTTTCACCATTTCTTTTTGAATATATGAGCAAACTATTTCAGGAGCAAAACTTAACCCGAAAGGCACGCGATTGAATTTATGTCGACCAAAGGGAGTCATGAACGTCGTTAGATTTGAGCTTGGTTCGTCAAGCTCCATCTGCCAAAACCCAGTGCTAAGGTCAAGGACTGTAAATACGTGTTTATTGGCTAACTGCCTTGTGACATCATTCTTCTTTTCTACTAACTGTACGTTGTGAACCCAATCTGTTGGAAGGTTGACTGGCGTTTTTATTTTGTTTGTTACCATTTCCTGAATTTTTGTTCTGAATCGTTCTAACAAGCTCAACGGTATTCTCTTTTTATAATGCAAACAAGAAGTTGCCCCTTCTTTTAATGTAATTGAATCTTTCCCTGGAAATTTTCCCAATCCGCTAAAAACACTATCATATTGCTTGACAAAGTGACATCGTGAATATCTATTCGCTTTATTATTTGAAATTTAATACAAGTTTCTAAACCTAAAATTGGCTCGTGCGTACCTTTCACAACAAAATCTGCCTCTTGACTGGTATTCAAATACGGATCAATGCACCTGAGGGATATTGTACCAAAACTTTTTATTTTATTTCCATAATAATCATATATGGCATAATTAATTAAGTGACTATTAAATTTCACATTTAGTTTTGAAATGTATTTGATCGGAATGCAATTAATATCGGAACCGGAGTCTATTTTGAATCGAATTTTTATATCCTGTATATAAAAATCTTTAGTCCACCTGCCACTACTTGACTCCTTATTATTCACATTTATTCTATAAATACAATTATTATGTACTAGTTCACTAGTTAGCTGTAATAGTCCTGCACCGAGTGTACCTGTCCTTTAATTTTGTTGTTTGATTCGTTTCTCCTATTCTGTCCATGGATTTTCGTTTGGAGTTGCTTGCTGAACTTTTTTTCCGCGACACATTTTGAAAAAATTACCGTGCTTGTTGCATCCTCGGCAAATAATAAGGGTATTCATCAAACCTTATAAATGCATTGTAAACCGTATAAACTTATAATTGTGTAAACCTTATAAATGAACTGTCAAAATTTGTATGGAAACTCGTTTACACATTTCTGATAAATTTATCCAGCGATTTCACTGAATAAACTTGATAAACTGAAGACAATGCAACTCTGTCGCAACTCTAGCTATGTTTTCTTAGGCAATCATCGGAATCCGCATACAAATTTTGCACGCACATTCAACAACGATATGATCCTGATAGAGATCTGGTTCAATTATTATCCCGTCT